GTTCAAGCATTGCTTGGACTTGTTGAATGTTTCGAGTTGTTAAAGAAGCAAGGTAACCCAACCCACATTGAAGTTTCCAAGGGGCAGGATATTCGCCAAGGTGGAGATTTGTTAGGTATGGCTCATAAATATACCAGTAAAGAGGACAGGAGATGGAGCGAAGGACTTGTAATTATGTACCAGGGTTTTCTATTATAAATAGAGATGTAACCTAGACCTAAAATATCATTGAATAAAATTCTAGCGCCTAGGCACCGAGGACGTAAGCACATTGCCGAACCTCGTAAAATTCTCGTGTTCTTTCGTTTTCTTTACCCGTTTTCGTCAACATGAAGTCTATATGTTGTTTGGCCATGACCTAGGGTTTTGAGAAGTTTGTGATTTGGTTAAATTATGTTAGGGTTTAATTGTAGAAGCTTTGAAATGTTGATGAGAATGAAATTCATGCTTAATCAAGTGAAAATCAAGAACCCTAAACCCTAGAATATTTGGCCTCAAGGAAATAATTGAGGGGGAAATTATGAAAAATTTCCTTAGGCTTGGAAATGATGTTTGAAAGGTTATACAAGCTTTAGAAAGTTATTTGGACCAAATTTGTAATTATGTGAAAATTGAGGGATCTATTTGGAAATTTTGAAAAGTTATGGGGAAAATGTGTAATTGTTCAATAGATGTTGTACTATGCTAGAAATTAATGTTAGTGTTAAATTTGATGTTAGAAGGTGAAATTGGACTATTTTGGGAAGTTGGCAAAGTTTGAATACTAATTGGAAAAGATTGAGAAAGTTAATGATTTGAGGGGTAATAGCGAATTATTGAGGTATTGGGCTGGACATTAGATGCTGCAAATTTAATTAAATTGTTTGAGACTTGAATTTAAGTTAAAGGGCACATGACTATTTAGAATAAAATGGAAAAGTTGAGATTAATTCTAAAAGAATTCATAAATGATTGTTAATATGTAAAGTTGAAAATGTTATATGAAGTTTGGGTGAATTTGGATAAAAATGTTATATACAAAGGTCAGCTTGAAGCGTTAAGGTTAGGGGTGGCAATCGGGTGGGGAAAAACCGAAAATCGTGGGGATCCAAACCTACGAGATAAGGAATAACCGAAATCTTCACCCACGAGGATGGGAATGGGGGAAGTTTTATCCTAGAAGCTCGAATGGGGATGGGGACGGGGATTGCTATAACTGAACCATGAGGATAATCAACCGTACCTGTGTGAATAACCGTGGGGATCCCTAAAAATATCTTTAAGGATCCCCGATATTTTATAAAATTGTAAAATATATTTATAATCATTTACCTATATACTCTTATTATATATTTTAATAAAAAGTTATAGATGATAAGGTTGTGAGATTACGTGTTGCCATTGTTCATCTCAAATGAACTAAAATTGAAGTTTAGATCTTTTCTCATTTAATACACATTGATTTGTTGAGATTAAAAATGGTAAAGATTGTACACATACATTGGATGTTAGATTAATATTGATGTTTGAAACTTTCATATTATAGGTAGAGACCAATTTGAGACAATATGATATATCTTACAAGTTTTAAGTGTTGCATTGATTTAAAAAATGTTTGTTTATTTTTAGGGGATGGAGATTAACCGAAACCCATATGGATCTGTAATGAATAGGTGTGGGGACAAAAAAACCCCCGAAACATATAATGAGGATTCCCCAAAACCATACCCATAAGTGTTGAGGATGGAATGGGTATTGCAAAACTGTCCCCACCCTACCCTGTTGCTACCCCTAGTTAAGGTCAACATTTATGTTATGACATGGAATTAGTATCTAAAGAGCATATAAAGTTTTTTAGGAATTTATTTTCGAATGTGTGCACATGCTAGTGAGATTCTAACATGTGGTTTAAAATATATATGTCTTATAATGGTCTTCATTTATATTATGATTAAAATCAAGATGAAACAATATTAAAGCTAAAGAGAAGCTTAAGGATGAATGTGAATATCTAAGGAAAGTTTACAAGCTAAGGACAAAATATTTAATTTGCATTTATGTCATCGGACAAACATTGGCTTGCGATGAGCCAGTGACGAAGTTACTATGTTAGAAGTGACTCCTAATATTGTATGACTTTTTGATTCATATATATATATATGTTCATGTGGTAAATTAATAGAATTAGTGAATAAGTTAAGGATGCAAACTAGTGAAATCTGCCTATACTTGTGACTTGAACAGTAAGTTTAGAAAATCACCATATATTCTATAGAAATTATTAGAAGATTATTTTTACACCGTTGAATTCTTATATCAGTCTAGTTTTATTTAAAATAAACGGATAATGATTTCGAGAAGTATACAAAAATATATGAATTTTTAACCGATGATAGGTCAGAAAATAGGGCAGCAGATTCTGCTCAAAACAACTTTCGTAAGTTAGATTTGAAAATTTACTATAAATTGTACAAGTTAAATTAGAAAAGTGTCTTATATGTTTAGATTCGTTTTTGGGTATAGTTTCTAGTGGTACAACCAAAATAATTTTTAAGTGTATAGATTAATACATAATAATATTTATTTGAAGGTAGTGCAAACTACAATCATATGAAATTTTGTCATAAATTGGGTTTTCATGTTACTCTTATGTTATATTCTATTATAAATGTTTGAAATAAGTCAAATTTATTATAATTGGTATGATAATTATGCGATTTATTACATGATGAATATAATGTGTATATGTTAAATAAAGGTAATTGATGTTGATCATGATATATAAATGTTATGTGGAAATGAAATGTTTAAGGTATGAACTGTTCATTATGTTATGATATGAAAAGTTAGATATGTTGATGTATTAATATCTTTGATAATTCAATAACATATAATAACTAATGGAAAGCCCATTGCATGTTGCATTGAGAGTCGTAGGTACATGCACTTAGCATGCTAGAAAGTTGAGTAAAGTTCAAGTTAAGTAAGTTATGGTACATTCGTGTACATTACGTATGACATTGTTGGTGCATACGATATGATTTGCACCTGGAGTGCATCCTATGTTGATGATTGGAACCATGTAGTGCCTAGTGCACACATTATGTTTGACTCACGTACCTTGCATTCTCATTAATATGCATTAGGCTATGAATTTGGAATTCAGTTATGAAATTGAAATTAAGCTACGAATATGAAATTAGGCTATGAATTTGGAAATAAGTTCTGAATCGAGAATGGATTTATGAAATGTGAAGGTAGTGGTTATAAAAATTAGATATGAAAATGAAGTATGAAAGTTCTTAAATGTATATGAATGAAAACCAATATGATATGATTAGTATGAATGCTAATGTTTATCATAGTTTTGCCAAAATTATGAGATGATGATTATCAGGTCCATGATGAAGAAAAATGACTTGAATAAATATGTTTCGATATTTATGATTTTATTTGAATTAGTTTTAATGTTTTTAATTGGTATGATATTTTCATGTTTTATGCAAGGAAATATATTGTTTTGATGTTGTTAAGTTGTTTAATATTTTATATCATCTTAGATTGTCTTTAATGCCTCACTTAGTGTACACTTAGCGTGTGATAATTTTCACGCGTAGATTAAGAAGAGCAAGTAAAGTAAGGAGTGGAGCTTGGCATCAATCAACAAAGAATAATTACAGGTATCAATAATAACATCATACTATTTTAAGTTTTCTAGATGGCATGTATACGAGTAAGAAATATTTGAGATATATTATTATGAATAAAAAAATATGAATCTAAGTTTTGTTTTTAGATGAAAGTTATATTTTATTAGAATAAAGAAATATTTTAAATTAGACAGTTATTAGACAACTTACTTTGTGATAGGAAACAATATAGAACTATCTAGTTGCAGCTTGAAACTAATTTTGATTTGGATGTTTAAATATTATACTATGATTTTACGTGATTATATTATGCTAATGGAAGGATTAAATTGGACAAATTTTAAAGATTCAATTTTGTACTAGTTTTCAACTATAGAATGTATGTAAAAGCTATGAGACATCTTTGGCTCGTATTCGGGTACGTATACGAGTTAATGGTGTTACACAAATTCCATTGAAGAACACTTGAGTTCTTGAGAGAGAACTTAGAAATCACTAAAATCATAAAGTGTGTATATTATGATATGCGTTTAGAGAGTTAAACCGTTAAAGTTCAATTCGGAGATGCTAATTTAGCGATTCAAACAAATCTCCAAATTTAGGATTCAAATGATGGTAGTGAACCCTAAATCCTAATTTGGTATCTTTATTCGTACTTGAATTTGATTACTTAAATCGATGGGTTATATATTTATTGTGTAATTTTGGAGTCCAAGTAAATATAGGTAGAATCCTCAATGCTTTGGTCATTATATCAGCCGGTTGTTGTTCTATAGTCAGTCGAATCAATTCATCCTACCAACTTACGAGTAACCGTCATGATCTTAAGTCCTCTTTATCTCTTTTTTTGTTTCCGTATATAAGTCGGGTTCTTGTATAAGTCACCACACATGACTAAAAGGAGGAAACTCTCTCTCTCTCTCATATTCTTCAGATCTTCAAAATCAAATGACATTTATCGTCTATAATTTTACTATGGAATCACCTCACCCTAATTCTTCTCTTTTTTTTTTGTTCATATAAAAAAACATTTTTTACACCAGTCAAGGGTCTTCTAATCACTGACTGTGACTCTTTTTAAAAATCAAAAGAGATGATCGCCTATGGTGACATATTTGTTCTCGTCAACAAAAAAATATTGATAATTTTTATTCTATATTACATTTAAATATTTACTCTACTTTCACCGAGTTGGTTATCCTTTTATTTAATTACAATGAATCAAATGTAACCTAAATTCGAATACAACATACGATATAAAAATTAATTAACTTAATTAAACATATCTTAATGGTTCCAAATTACCATAATTTCAAGACGTTAAAAGAATGAGAGCAGCCCGTTTCGATTGAAAATCATTTATAAGGCTATATGGTGCTTTGGTGGGCATTAAGAAGAGCAAACATGAATCCATGTGTGATCAGATTGGTGTGGTTGCTGTCTGTAACGCTGGTTTTGGTTGCGGGCACAACCGTAATAATCAATAACAATTTGAAAAACAGGAAGGATCTGACAATCCATTGCAAATCCAAGGACGACGATCTCGGCGTACATGTTCTTTCCTACGGGGAATCCTATGATTTCGAATTTGAACCGGACATTTTTTGGAGGACCTTATTTTTCTGCCGCATGACATGGAATGGAAAATCGCATTGGTACGATGTTTACGACGAATATGTGGAACGGTTGTATGGGGATTCTGGGGGTTGCTTACAAATAGAAGATGATAAGTGCGTTTGGAATGTAATAGAATTCGGCCTTTGTACGCCAAAGACGGCTGATTGTTACCCTTGGAACAGATAGGGGTCGCTAAATCACTCTCAAAATCGACAATAAACATTTGTATTAACTGAAATATCATTTGCTGGTTTTCATGTGAATTGTGTTTGACCTTTAATTAATGCATGACCACTTAACCACGCAGTTCGTCAGAAGGGTGGACACATATTTTATGGTATAATGATAAACCTCTAAATTTTTAGGATGAGAGGACCGCCTCAAGTCACCCCTTCGATCCTCCCCGCATCCTCCCTTCCGAGTATCATTTCATTTTTTTAAGTCGTCAGTAGCATAACACCTTTTCTAACAGTTTATCTACTAATTTATGTTGGAAAATTAAAAAAGAATTTGATTTTTTAAAACTTAGGGTAAACTGACAACTTAACTATTGTTCCCTTTCATTCTGATAATCAAGTTTTGATTTAATCAATCAGACTACCGAATTATTGAAATATTTAAAACAAACTATTAACCATTAATTTTTAATGTAGAATGTGAAATGAAAGTTTAAAAACTCAACATAATAACGTATTCGGTCCTTAATATTTTTAATTCTATCAATTTGAATATAATTTAATTCAATTAAAATAAATATAATCTTTAATTGAAGAGAAAATGTGCGCTAGAAGATTCTCGTACCTGACACAAAAAGAAACGTCAACAAGCACCTAAACCACCCAGCAAAAAACCTTTTCTAGTAAGATATTACAACATAAATATTATATATCTTTTATTCTAGCTAATGACAGTAAAAAAAGAAGTCCAAATGCAAACAAGGAGACTCTAAATTGATATTCTAAGCATGCATATATATTCCATTGAATTATTATTTAATATAATAAATAATTTTTAATTTTTGTTTATTAATTATAATTTAATATATTTTAAAAATATTTTTTATTAAATTATATTAAGAATATACATTTGAAATTAAAATTTATTTTTCTATTAAATTATAATTTATTGTATATATAACTATTAAATATATATATATAATATCAAATTATAGTTAATAAATAAAAATTAAAAAATATTTTTAAATAAATAAATATTAAAAATATATAAAATATATTGTAATTTTATTCAAATAGGTGATTTAGTTTAATGATTTAGGTGGGTACATCGATGCTTGAAATCTCAAATTTATTGGTGAAAAAAATTAAAATAAATTAAAATAATAATAATATGATGCGTATCACACTCTTAGCCAAGAACAAACTTGGTTTTGTTGATGGCAGCTGCAAAAAAGATGATTATGTTGGGCCTCTACGGTCTCGATGGGAGCGGTGTAATGCTTTCGTTCTGTCATGGATTCTCAATACGATGTCGAGTGAGCTTTCGGCAGGAATTGTTTTCGTCAGCAGTGCAGCTCATGTTAGGCAGGATCTTCGCGAATGGTTTGATAAGGTTGATGGATCGCGTGTTTTCTTCCACCATCGAGAGATTGCGGCCATGAGTCAATGTGATTCCGCGGTTTCCACTTATTTTACTCATTTCTCGGTTTCCTCGATTTGTGAATGTGAAATCTCCCAACAGAATACAAGACATCTTGCTCAGCAGAGACTTTTTCAGTTTTTTATGGGTCTCAATGAGACGTATGCAGCAGTTCGAAGCCAAATATTGTCAATGCAGCCGTTGCCCACTGTTCACCAAGCTTATTCGATGGTAGTCCAGGAAGAGTCTCAGCGTGACCAACTTTCTGGTGTTTCTTCCGGTGTGGATGTTGCTGTTGTGTTCTCTAATACTTCGAGGTCTGCTGATCGTCGCCGGCTCAACGGTCTTTGTGATCACTGCAAGATAAGGAGACATAAAAAGGGAAATTGTTATCAGTTTCATGGGTTTCCTCCGGAATTTATGTTCACAATGAAGCGGGGACCACAAGAAACTATTGCAGCTAATACACAAATGGATGCTTCGAAGTCTGATTTGGTTTTGACAACGAATGAGTCCAATAATGTTGGTGCACCGGTCTTCACTCGTGAGCAATATGATCAATTGCTTGGGCTCCTGAACAAGGCTCCTTTGATTGAGTCGACTGTGAATTCAGCAGGTACAACTAATCAAGGTACTTCTGCTGGTCATAATTCTTTGAATTGGATCCTGGATTTTGGTGCTACTGAGTAGATGTTGTCTGACTTCCATAGATTAGAATTCCATGTTTCATGTGCTACTGAATCTCGTCTTGTACACCTTCCAAGTGGTAAAACCGCTTCCATAAAACATGTTGGGTCTTTCGCTTTTGACTCTACTAAGTGCTTTCTAATGTGCTGTTTGTTCCAAATTTAACACGAAATTTGCTCTCGGTTTCCAAAATTACCAAAGACCTTAATTGTAGCCTTACCTTTTATCCTGATTTTTGTGTTCTACAGGATCTCTGTAGTGGAAGGACGAGGGGGATTGGTAAGCAATCGCGGGGCTTGTATTTTTTTATTCTATAAGTCTGGTTCCTAGCGTGTCTTCTCCAAAATAGTCTGTTTCTTCTTTAAATTTTTTTTCTGTTTTCAACCATTGTATGTCAGTTTCTTCGATTAATAAAACTGCCATCTGGCATGCAAGATTGGGGCATGCTTCTTTCAATGCTCTTAATAAGTCAACTTTTTTGCAACATGTTAATTTGCATTCATCTAGCATCCATGAGTGTTCTGTTTGTCCTTTAGCCAAATAATCTAGGATGCCTTTTCCTTTGAGTTCTTCTAGGGTCCAAACTTCTTTTAAATTAATTTATATAGACCTCTGGGGGCCTTATCGTATTTCTAGTCATAGGAATTGAAGTCGATTTTCCATGTTTAGCCAAAATTGGAAAATTTAGTGACTAGATTGCAGTTTTCAAAAATTTAAAAGGAAAAAAGGTGTAAAGTGTATTATTTTTTTTTATCTTTGAATTTGAAGATATTATAGATAAGACGGTGTCATGGATGATGTTATAGCAATGGCAAAGTGAAATTATCATATTTTAGTAAGGTTAAAATGGTAATTTCCAATTAAATGAATTTTAAATTCATTTATATTAAATTAAGACAAGTGTATATGTTAATTATGAAGAGAAATCGATAGTTTTTAGCCCCTCTTCTTGCTCAAGTCCTACACCCCCAGAGCTAGGTAAGGAGAAATTTTGATTTTTTTAAGCTTATCCAATTGATTTTTGGATTTAGCTATAAGATAGGAAATTAATCAACCTGAAACTCTATATCATTTGGAATAACAATTACATGGAAATCATGCTTTTATGATGAGATTGGAGATTAGGGTTTATGAAGGACATGTTTGATTTTGAAGATTTGATGAAAGATTATTATGTTATTGATGTTGTAGATTAGTTCTAAATCATGTGTGATGATTAAAATATGTGAAGTCTATATGATGTTTGGTAATGACCTAGGGTTTTGAGAAGTTTGTGGTTTGGTTAAATTATGTTAGGGGTTTAATTGTAGAAGCTTTGAAATGTGGATTAGAATGAAATTCATGCTTGAATCAAGTGAAAATCAAGAACCCTAAACCCTAGAATATTTAGCCTCAAGGAAATAATTTGGGAAATTATGAAAAAATTTCCTAGGCTTGGAAATGATGTTTGAAAGGTTCTACAAGCTTTAGAAAGTTATTTGGACCAAATTTGTAATTATGTGTAAATTAGGGGATCTATTTGGAAATTTTGAAAAGTTATAGGGAAAATGTGTAATTGTTCAATAGATGTTGTACTATGCTGGAAATTAATGTTAAAGTGTTGAATTTGATGTTAGAAGGTGAAATTTGACTATTTTGGGAAGTTGGCAAAGTTTCAAGACTAAATGGCAAAGATGGAGAAAGTTAATCATTTGAGTGGTAATAGTGAATTGTTGAGGTATTGGGCTGGACATTAGATGCTGGGAATTTATTTAAATTGTTTGAGACTTGAATTGAAGTTAAAGGGCAAAGGATTATTTAGAATAAAATGGAAAAGTTGAGATTAATTCTAAAAGAATTCATAAATGATAATTATTATGTAAAGTTGAAAATGTTATATGAAGTTTGGGTGAATTTGGATAAAAAGGTACTTGAAAGGTCAGCTTGAAGCGTTAAGGTTAAGGGTGACAATCGGGTGGGGAAAAACCGAAAACCGTGGTGATCCAAACCTACGGGGATAGGGAATAAAAAAAATCTTCTCCCACGAGGATGGGAATGGGGGAAGTTTTATCCTAGAAGCTCAAATGGGGATGGGGACGGGGATTGCTATATCTGAACCGTGAGGATAATCAATCGTACCTGTGTGAATAACTGTGGGGATCCCCGAAAAATATCCTTAAGGATCCCCGATATTTTACAAAATTTTAAAATATATTTATAATCATTTACCTATATACTCTTATTATATATTTTAATAAAAAAGTTATATATGATAAGATTGTGAGATTACGTGTTGCCACTGTTACATCTCAAATGAACTAAAATTGAAGTTTAGATATTTTCTCATTTAATATACATTGATTTATTGAGATTAAAAATGGTTAAGATTGTACACATACATTGGATGTTAGATTAATATTGACGTTTGAAACTTTCATATTATAGGTAGAGACAAATTTGAGACAATATGATATATCTTACAAGTTTTAGGTGTTGCATTGATTTAAAAGATGTTTGTTTATCTTTTGGGATGGAGATTAATCGAAACCCATATTGTTCTGTAATGAATAGGCGTGGGGACAAAAAATAATCCCCGAAACATATAATGGGATTCCCCAAAACCGTACCCATAAGTGTTGAGGATGGAATGGGTAATGCAAAACCGTCCCCACCCTACCCCATTGCCACCCCTAGTTAAGGTCAACATTTATGTTATGACATGAAATTAGTATATAATGAGCATATAAAGATTTTTAGGAATTTATTTTCTAATATGTGCGCATGCTAGTGAGATTCTAACATGTGGTTTGAAATGTATATGTCTTATAATGGTCTTCATTTATATTACGATTGGAATCAAGATGAAACAATATTAAAGCTAAAGAAAAGCTTAAGGGTGATGTGAATATCTAAGGAAGATTTAC